AATCTCTACTAGCTTACCTGACTTCCAAAAGTCAATCAATCAATCCAAAAGTTTCCAAAAATTTCTAAAGGAAAATCGGCTAGTGTACCTTCTTCTAGATTCCTCCTGGCTGCGCTACCTTAAACTGAGTCGTTTTCCTTAATAATCTCTGCTGGATTGCCTCGGACCCAATCCATTTTTTTAGAGCTTACACTACGCCCTAGCATAAATTGTTCTAAAATTTTCTGCTAGTTCGCCATTTCCGGTTAGCTGCAAAATTCCGGATACTACATTTTTCGAAGTATCTAAAAGATTCTCTGTTAGCTCACTTTCCCCGGGTTTCCAAACGAGTCTAGAAAGCCCGGTGTTGGCAATTGTATCAAAGGATCTCTGCTAGTCTGCCCTTTTTTTGGCTTTACATGTGCTAGCAGATTACCTAGATGCAGTTCCCCAAAGAATCTCTGCCAGCTCGCCCCCTCCGAAACTTCGTAAAATCGGTATCCGAGTGTGGTTCTCGCCGAATGGTCATTAAATGTGTTGGTGTGGCCGTATGTATATGGGTGAGAGAGAGACAGAGAGAGAGAGAGAGAGAGAGGAAGAGAGAGAGAGAGAGAGGTGGGCCGTGGCCTGGGTGCCTGGGAATGTCCCATGCTTCGTCGTCCACCACACCCGCCCAAAACCACCCAGCCTGCCGCACGGCCACACACATACACACCTTCTAGCTCTCATTCAAACCAAGCAATATTGCTCTACTCGGTTTCTCCGTTTGTCTCTCTCTATCTCTGTGTCACTCGCTCTCTCACTCGCTCTCTCTCTCTCTCTATCTCTCTCTCGCCCCTCATTCCCGTCAATCTCCAATTTCAGCCGGTCTCGAATAGTCATCGCCCTTTGGAATTTCCCACCTTAGGAAAAATATTGGAGACCTGGGCAAGCTAGCAGAGATACTTGGAGAACTAAAGGCCATGCTAGCACAGGTTCCTTGGAATCAGAGGAATAAGCATGCTAGCAGAGGTTCTTTAGGAATCGCAGGCGTGCGCCAGCTAGCAGAGATCCTTTGGGAATCGGAGGTTTGGGCATGCTAGCGGAGATTATTTAGGAACCCGAGACATGGGCAGACAAGCACAGATTCTTTAGGAATATGCTAGGACAACTGCCAGGAGCTCTGTAGGAACCAAGCAAATCGGCAAACTAGCAGAGGATTTTTGGGAATCAGAAGAACGAGCAGGCTAGCAGAGTTCGTTAGGAAGCAGACAGGCAGGCTAGCAGTGATTATTTGGGAATCCTGGATTGTAACAACTAGCAGCGTTTCTTTAGGGAGCAGACAGTTGTCTAAGCAAGCAGTGATGCTTTAGGAATCAGACGGATCACCAAGCTAGCAGAGGATGGTTAGGACAGCAGGATTGGTCGGCTAGCCGAGGATTTTTAGGAACTAGCCGGACTGGCAGCCTGCAGAGCTTCTTTAGGAAACAGACGGACAGGCAGGCTAGCGAGGATTTTTTTTTCAGAAATCAGCTAGTTGCTTAGTGCAAATTTTTAGGGTGAGGGCAAGCTGGCAGAGATGCCTTGTGGAAATCGTAGTATGGGTTTTTTTTAGGAATTACACAAATAGGTAAGCTAGCAGTGGCGCTCTATGAATCAGCAGAAAAGGCAGGCTGGCAGAAGCCTTTGGAGAATCAGCGGGAGAGGCTGGCTTGCAGGAATTCTTTGGGACAATCAGCGAGTTGCTAAAAAATCATTTGGGACGACGGCAACTAGCAGGGTTTTTTTGGGAATCGACCGACATCGACCCTCCGTCACGTCCCCACGCCCAAAAAGGGCAGGCTAGCAGAGGTTCCCAGCGGCCGACGGTTTTGGCAAAAAGCCAGCGGCGTTCTAACTCGCGCGTGGGAGCCTTCTGGCCGGAAAAAAATCGGGGGATCACGTATGTTTTTGGAAATTTGCGAAATTCCGGTAGGATACTGTAGCCGGGGTCATTTTTAGCAAACTTAAGTTTCGAAGTTTTTGCTTATCTTTCCGTTCTTATCAAAGCCAAACGACCACTTTTCCACTTTCCCTCTCGCTTTTTCTCTGCCCTGTCCCTCTCTCTCCCGCTCTCTAACCCCAATCGCCTCTCATTAGTGCGCCGTTCGCGAGGTGATAGGGTGCAGGTGGTGCCCGCCCTTTCTCCACTACACATCTGCCATGATGGACCTCGGCTATTTTGACGAGTTGTAGGTATTCCCATACATTTCCGCAAATTTTCTCTGCTATCACTTTTCAACCATGCGCACCAGGTACAAATATTTATGCTAATTAGGTGGCCTCACTGGATTTTTTAGAATTTTTGTCGTGCTACTTTTTACGCAAATTCGGTTAACCTCGAGTAATTTCACGCGTTCCCAGTCAAAATTTCTTTTATACTGTAATAGATCTGATAACTTAACTTCAAACAGTTTAGTTTTGAAGATACAGTATAAATTTTCGCTTTATATTTTCGTGATTTTTGCTCATTTTTACTCGTTTGCGCGACACCGCTATGTGAATTTTCCGGATTCGAAATATTTTTGAAAGTTTCTTTTTCCGTTTTCCTCGGATTCACTGGTGGCGCTCTTTTTGGAATCGTATGCAAATTAGGGCAGCATTTTGGGGTTTTTGGGCTCGAAATTTTGGAAAGATTCATTTGCGGTCTGTATGCAAATTGGGCCCAATTTCGAACACAATTTGGCTCATAATTTTTTTGAGTTTTTTTACGCCAAGTTCAATGCAACACCGGTTTGCGGGGCCTTAAAATGCCTTGATTAAATTTTTATACCGTATTTCGATCAATTTTCTATATATGCAAATTAGCATCCAAATTCTGACGGTTTAAAAAGTCGTTATTTGATTTGTATTTTTGTGTCTGTCTCGGATGCAAATTAGCGTATTTCGGGCGCAGCTAAGGACATTTTGGCTTTTTCATGCCATATACACGTTTTTGGGGAACCGGCGCGGATCCGCATTTTGCATGTGGCCCATCGGGCAGTCGTAGAAGAAGGAAAGAAGATGGAGGAGGTTGAGGGGAAGGGAATCGATGGAGAATGGTGGGAGATTCACACGGATCCACCACCCAAAACGCCCCGGGAAATTGGGACCCACATAGCCAACGGAGGACGGCTACGCCACATTCCCATATACGCGCGTCCAGGGGTGTAGATCGGAAAAACGGGCTAAGGCCTAAAATTACTGTGTTTTATTTGATTGCAAAAATACAGTAAGTCCCAGCGAAACCAAAAATGAGCAATTTATTAAGCCAGAAAAGTACAGTAAGCGGTGTGTCAAAAAAGGTAGAAATTCGGAGAACCAATTGATTTTTAATTAGGAAAGAACCGTAACCTAAGAATCCAAATACCGTAATTAGTATAAAAATTACGATAGATCCCTAAATGAAAAAAAATGGTCCCCTTGAATAAAAAAGCCCATAACGACTCGTGCCGTAGGATAAAAATACCGTAGCCTACGACTCAAAAAATTAGACTTTTTAATGAATGATAGATAAAAAGTACTGTAGTGTACGGTATCATTAGTGTAGTATCGCTGAATTAAGCCGATTTTTGCAGGATGGCCCGGACACGGATGAGCTCGGTCACGCCGAATCAGTCGCTGTCGACGACGGGACGGGTGAATGGCACCGAGGTTAGTGATCTATCAATCTCTCTCTCTATCTCTCTCTCTCTCTCTCGCTTGCTCTCGCTCCATCTCTCCTTCTTTTTTGGCTTTTTAACTCTCTCTTTCTAGAGCTCCGACGGCCCTCCAGCCAAGCGATCTCGGGCCGGGCGGTCCCGAGAAGTCGAGGAGAAACCAGAGGTTACGATGGTAATTTTTTTTTAAATATACGTTTTGAGTACGTTACTGTTCTATAAGCGATCGAATTTGAATTTTCTAAGCTTTTCCTCGAGGACAAATTTAAGAAATTTTTCATAGAAAAGATGATTTTTAAATTAGATTTTGATTAAATTGTATATTTTAGTTATTTTGCCAGGGTCCGCTTGCGTACTGTGTACAGTTTTGTAGTAAAATCTACTGTATATACTTTCTTATTTTGTAGCACAGCGACGCCTCCTCAAACGGGGCAACCTCATCGAAGGGTGCCGCCCAGGTGAAGGAAGAAGTCGTGGAAGAAGCCCCGAGGCTTGAACCCCAAGCCCAGCTCGACATCAAGCCGTCCACCTCTACAGCTACTTCAACGGCTAATTCTGCGGTGAGTGAGAGCGAGAGAGCGAGAGTGATAGAGAGAGAGAGAGAGAGAGTGAGAGTGAGAGAGAGCGAGAGAGTGAGAAAGAGAATGAGAGAGAGCGAGAGAGTGAGAGTGAGAGAGAGCGGGTGAGAAGGAGAGAGAGAGAGATTAAGAGATACCACTTTTTAGAATTCCCCTCCAGCCGCGCTGATCAAGCCCGAAAATCTCGTCGACCTCGTCAACTTCCTCGCCGCCAGCGTGCCGATCGCTAAAATCGTTAAGGTATAATTTTTACTAATTTTCCTTCCGACAAAAACAATAGGAATTTATTTTAATAACATTTTATCGAAAATAGTCTTTAAAAGCTTTTATATTTGCAAAAATCATCAAAATACTTCAGAGAAATTTTTCAAAATTTAATTTCTGTGACATTTTGGCTCCCGCAGAACTCTGGACAGGCTGAAACTTCTCTCAAAAATCGCCTCAGGACCCCGGAGATTCAATTTCCGATTAGTGACGGAGGGCCACTAGAGGAGCCCGAATTAACTAGACGCTCCTAGAAATAGTCCATTAAATGACCCTTTCATTCAAAAAACCACTTCTTAATTAAACCTCGACTTTTTCAGCCCACTCCCAGCCAACCCCTGCACCCCAACAGCCTCTACGCAAAGTTGTTGCAGAATAAAGTGGTGAGTCTCTATCCATCTCTCTCTCTCTCTCTCTCTCTCTCTCTCTCTCTGCCTCTCTCTCTGTGCCGGAATTCGCTGCATTTTGTAATTCTTTGACCGGTATTTATTCCACAAGTTATTAGCCAAATTTTTCGAGCTTAAAAATTCCTGCCGCCACCTCGTTTGAATATCCAACGTTGCACTAGGGGCAGTGTGTCGTACGGTGGTGGAATTCGCTGAAAAAATGATAAAGATTATCATTAGCTTTCTCTCTCCCACCCTCTCTATCTTTCCCGCTCTCTCTATCTCGCTCTCTCCATATCTCTGACTCCTTCTCTCTCCGCTACGTTACTTTCCAAAGAACACCAAACAAGGATGGTAACGACTTCTTAATCCCCGGCCTTTTCGACCCCCACGCACACCCCCGTAATTCGTAATTTAAGCCAACCCCGGAATTAGCATCAGTACGTAGCTTTTTATGCCAGCAAGTGGTTTTAGGCTATCTCCTGAAACCCACTACGTTTTAAAAATTTCCACGGTTTTCGACAGCAACAAATTCTAAGAATTTAGCAGCGTCATTTTTGTGCATCATTTTTTCAGGTTTTTGGCCATTTTCAGACCGCTTTAATCGAATCATAAAATTCTACTTGCGAAGATTTCCAAGAACAGTACAAGTTTCCATGATTCCCCAAGGAGTTAGGGCGTCTGAGCAAGCCAAAGTAACTATTTTTACGCATTTTGACGAATTCTACAGTACATTTTTTGACGCCCCAAAAAGCTTATATGTACATTTTTGGGAAAATAGAAAAATCTAATCGAATCTTCGGATTAAGCATCCGGGAAAATTGTAAAGACACAAAAAGCATATTTAATTGGAATGACTAAGAGATGGGACCAAAAATTAGGTATCGAACAGACAGACGGTAATTTTAAATCATTCGAAAAAGTGCGGTCGAAAAAAATTGTAAGCCAAATTAAACTTTTAACTCACCAGTTCTCTCATCCGGGTCTCCCGCTTATGTGCTCCGGAAGGGAATGAAGCGTAGAGGTTCTCTGGCGGTTCCCAGACCATGCTGGATACCTAAAACATGCAGATTTCTTGGGAAAGGTATAGATTCCTGTCTTCAATGGCCCTTTAGTCCCGGAGATTTCGATCCTAACTGAATTTTGAGCCCGAATTCGGACTATGGTAGCCGTAAAATAGAGCATTTTATAATTATCAATTTTCCTGCAAATTAGGTTTCTTTAAAGGGACTGTGACACCCGGAATTCGAAATACTGTAGCGCAAAAATTCGGAATTTTTGTACGGTGCATTTTGCGTGCTATTACGGCTTTTCGAAAGAAAAAGAAAATGCCTTAAACTCCTAGCTGCAGTAACCCCCAAACTTACCGTAACCGCGAGGAACAACAGCGCGAAGAGCAGCTTCTTCAACATTTTTGAACCGTAAGTAGATGTCAATAGTACGCTAGCGTACTAGCGTACTCCAAAGAGCCCACACCGGCTGCTGGGCAAGAAATATGCCCCCAGGGCCCATCATGGTGCCTTTTAACCCTCGGGGGTGGGTCCCTGAAAAGGGGCGGGGCCCTGCGGTGGGTCCCCCAAGGGAAAGTCACTCACTTCTAGGGCCAAAATAAGGAAATTGAAGAGTTTTTGTTGGGTCAGAGATCATTTTCTGGGATTGGTTGGTGCTAAATCAAGCCAGGTGAAGCTGCGCAATTTTTAGAGGAGCTGGAAACTCTGGGAAAAGAATGCCACCAAATTTTGTAAAAATTGCACTGTTAAAAACCTATTACATTTGCTAAAAAAAGTTCCATTTCCAGACCCAGCCTAATTGGACGGAGCCCTATCGCGGAATTCTGATCACACTCGTCGAGCAGAAGGGGTAAGTATTTTTTAAATCTTGGTATTTTGCTACTTACGCATTAATGACAGTAACAATAATTGTTTCCTTTCCAAATTTCACGATTTTTCAAAATGGATTTTGTATCCAAATTTGAATTTTTGTTTGCTAATTCGTACTTTATACTTCAGTATTGACTGCGCCCCCACCGAGCCCTCCCAGCAGGCCAACCAGCTCCAGAAGAACATGCTCCATTTTCGCAGCATTGTCGAGATGTTTGTCTGTAAGTTTCGCATTTGATTCGGGTGTTTTAAACTTTTTATAGGGTTTTTTAATAAATTTAAAATTCATAAAAATTTTCCAATTTTGGAAACCCTAAAAAACCCCAATTTCATTTTTATTGCAAATTCCTTACCCCATTTTTTGCATTCCGCTACGAATTACGACCACACGTGTAGCCATTTTGCTCCTAAAAACGCAAAATAATGTGTCTGACAGACCACGAAAAACGATGGGTTGGCCATTAGCCCAGCGCGGCCTCGTCATCCGAGATTTTCATTTTTCCGGAGCTGGAAAACGGCTAAAACCTCGTGTTTTCGCAGCCATTAATATGGAAAATAAATGCAGCGGCTAGGGTGTATTATGCCCGAAAAATGGCTTAAAAATTCGCCTAAAAATTTAGGCTAGTAAAACGAGGATGTACTTTGGTTAGGAAATTCCAGTATTTTAGGGAAAACTTATGAAAGTTTACGAGTTGCGTTAAAGTCTGGAACGAATATTCTCCCTGTCTTTTTTTTCTTGAGATCGTTATCGACATGCCATGCTCCCTTAAAATCACTTGGACCACTTTTTCTAGTTATTTCTTGTCGCGTCTAACCTAGATAGTATCATATCGTGGCCGAGTACACTTTTCTTTTACCTTTCCATCGTCATCCCCTGGTCAGTCGTGGGATAATTAAAGAGACCCTCCTCGTCTAGCCGGACTTTTCCCTATTTTCGGCTTCATTATGGCCACTGGGTCGTAAAGACGTTATGGGCTTAACCCGGTCGGTGCACCCACGCAAAACTTTGACTTGGGCTTTACGATGAGCGAAAGAGAGGGAGAGACAGAGAGTGAGAGAGAGCGAGATAGAGAGAGACAGAGAGTGAGAAAGAGCGAGAGAATAATTTCCCAAGAAAACATCATCCAAAATAGACCCTTCATTACTATTTTCGCCTAGCTAATCCCCGAGGAATCGTGTAGAGGAACTTTTCGGAATCGTGGTATCAAAAATGGAGCCCCCCTCCACCCACTCAACCTTCCAAAAAGTGACACATTGTGACATCTGGGTTGAAGATTGTTTATTCCGGGAATGCGGTACTAGAAAATAGTCTTTTAACTGAACTGAAAAAAACTTAAAAGCCCCCAGAAAATGCCAATTTCGACCCCTTCCGTCGACTAGGTCTCGACAGTTACGAATCACTCCAAATAACGCTTACAAACATTTTATGAAGCCTTGGAAACGAGTCGCTGGAGCTAAATCCTAATGCGTTTTCTGTCCGCGGTGCTTTCTAATGAGTTGTCTAGACCAGTCATCGAAGGGTCAATTCTTGCGCTTCTCAGCTCCTTTAAAGGAACTGGGAAGTCCGAAAAATCGGCCTCTTCCGTCCGCTAGGTCTGGAAAACTGTGTTTCAGTCCAAACAACGACTTTAACTTTGATTTTTATGGCCCAGGGAAACATCGAGTTGAACTTGAAATCAATACACGGTTCGATGCGTAATTTAAGACTTTCATAGATGTCGAGACCCAGTCAAAGGAAGAGGTCGATTCTAGCACTTCTTTGCCCTTTTAAAGCCACCCTTTTCAGCCATGATGCCCGGGCTGAACGACGTGGCGGTGCTGGAGAAGTGGGCGTGGATGTGCGAGATGCACTACCGTAGCCAGATTGTCGCCAAGGCCACCGGGCTGATGCGGTGGCGCTTTGCGAACGCGATGAGCAAGATACCCTACCAGAATAATTCGTTTTTACAGTAAGTCTTCGGAATTTCTTACTTGAATTTTTTGTGACTTTTGTTAAATATTTAATAGTGTTAAGTATTGTTAACTGATAATTGAATTATTTCAAAAACCGAATTTTAGCATCATGTCGGAAGACCGTTTCGACGAGCTGTGCGTCAAGTTCACGACGACCGCTCAGGACGATATTATGAGGAATGAATATCGCGGAATTTTGGCAGAGTACGTTTCTCTCTGTCTCTCGCTCTCTCTGCCTCTCTCTCGCTCTCTCTCTCTCTCTCTGGCACGCTCACTTTCTCTCTATCTTTCTCGGCATCTCTCCCTTTCCCTCTCTCTCTTCCTCTCTCTCTTCCTCTCTCGTTCTCTCGCTCTATCTCTCACTTTTTATTAATTCATAAAATTCCACTACCCTCCTTTCCCCATTTAGACCCCCTCAAATCCCTGATTATCCCCCTAAAATCTGTCTGCCCCATCTATTGATTTCCCGAACTCCCTAGAGATTTCTAATTCTCACCTCCCGTCTGCCTCTTCTACCCATAATTCGAACCTCACTTTCCAGAATCGGCAAATCGAACGAAGCCAATTTCCTCGCCGCTCACCCCCAGGTGCCGCAGTTGCCCGGAGGGTACGTTTCATACCTTTTACGATTTTTAACGGCTTTTATTGATGAATTGCAATAAAAAGTAGCGTTTAAAGAGGTTGCGACAATAGAAATTCGCTGTTTTCAGCTAAGTTCGTTATTTGGGTAGTTTCAACGCTTTTCTCTCCTAAATACGGCCTAAGAAGCTTTTAAAAAAATCGGTATCCTAGCTGTTATCAAAAATCTTTAGCTTAACCGATTGTTTCAACCATTTTCGGCGTAATAAAATCTTCTTGCAGCTCTCAAGCCAAAGCGAAGCTACTCGACGACCCGTCCACGTCTGACAACGGCAAGAAGACTGCGCGCACGTCATTTGTACAGGTGCGTACAACTGAATATATTAATCTTAAGGAGCTATAGTATGCTTAAAAATAAATATAGTTATGGTAATACAGATTTTTACATGCTTTTTCCAGTTCCAAGCCAAGCCCGGCCAATACGAGCCCACAGTACGGGAGGCCCTGAATGCAAAGATGTTGAGCGCAAAGGTATGCGTTTTGTATTATTCTTTTATTTTTTGGGGTTACGGTACTGCTGAATCATACAGTAGAATCCTTGCTGTCAGACTCCCTTTAAATTCTGGGAAATTTCAGAATCTCCCCGACCCAGAAGCGCTCGATTTCGAGAATTTGTGCATGGGATCGAAGGCACGTGAGAATGGAGGTAGGAAATTTTGACTTTTGTTTTGTTTTATGCATAAGTATTGCAATACAAAAATTATATAGCTAACATTTACGGATTTTATTAGGGTGGGTTACCTTAAAAATTGAAAATTTATCGTGTCGAAACCCATATTGTCGAAATTTCATAATGTCGAAATCTCAGATATTAACTTTCTTTGAAATTTCAGATATTTGAGATCAAACCTTGAATCGTTAATACCTTATCCTTGATAGGCATCTGGAAGCGAGAGATGGTCGGCACGCTGGTGGAGGAGATGAAGAATAACCCACCAATCTGGGAAGACCCCAGCCAGTACAGCCTCCGACCGCTGTGTGACAAACTCAAGTCTGAGCACCGGGCGACTTGGATCACTGGTAAATTTTAAAGGGACGGAGAAGGCAAAAAATCAGATTCAGCATAAACAAAACTTTAAAAAATCAATGAAAACTATTATAATTCTGTAAAAATTTCGTCAAAAATTCAAACTCGTTTTCCCGAAAAATCCGATTTCAGGCCATTTTTAGGCAATTTTTATATTTAATTTAACCTTTAAACCGAAAAATGTAAAAATTAGAGAAATTACATACCGTAATCGGTTAGTCCTCTCAAAATTCTCAAAATTTCATCTTTCAAAGACCGCTTTAACCTGAATTTTTCCAGAAGACGACTGCCGCCGCCAAATCGACGAGATGCGCATGGTGGTCGATAAGCTTTCACGAAAACGACAACTCCAAATCGCCCCCGAAGTGCTGAACTTTTACATGGCGCTGCAGCAGGTGCCGAGGACATCCTTGCCCAAACCCCCGGTAACCACCATCGTCAACACCACCACGCCGACACCGCCCACGCCGATTGCTGCCACACCGACTACTGTACAGGCTGAACCGAGGTTAGATTTTCCACATTTTCCTGAAAAAAAAGTTAAAAGGGACCCCTAAGAATCTCTGCTAGCTACCCTCGATATTTTAGCATGCGGAAAAAACACAAAGATTTTCCGCGCTTTTGTCGGGGGAGATGAATTTTGGTCGAAAAGCGGCCATTTTTCGACGAAAAGTCTCTTTCTTTGCATTTATGTCTTACTTAAATTTATAAGTTTTAGGCAAAATATTAGAAGTAGGTAAATAAAAACCATGGCAATAAAGCCCCCCCCCCGATAATGCAAAAGCACCGATTTACCGAAGGAGTCTGGCTAGTTACCCTCAATTTTTACAAACTATAAGTCTTCATTTTCCAACCATAAAACAAAAACTACAAACTATAAAAAAATAAACATTTTTCAGCACCTCCACCGCCCTGTTCGAGCTGGCCGGCGCGTTCGCCGCGGCCACCAAAGCGCCGGACTCCGCGCTGACCAATGGACTCGGGGATCCCGCCGCGAAAAGGGTACGATATTGCCTAGAAATTTTTTAGCGAGCTGTAGCAGATCATTGGCGAAAATCCGACCTTCCTAGCCCCTTTAAAAGCACGTTTTTCTAGGTGAAATACCCGGTGACGGCTTCCGTACCTGCCCCTGACGCTACCGTCGCCCATTGGCTCTCCATCGTCAGCCAACAGCTCGAAGCGGCCGCCCAGCGAAACAATGGTCATCTACCGACACCGACAGTCCCTCAAATGCCGATATCTATCAACGGCCATGAGAATGTTTGGGTGGTAAGTAGTTATACCTAAAAGTAATATTAGTAAGATCTAAAATAGAAAGTATTACTTTAAATGCACTTAAAACTTTAACGTAAACTTCTAGCTAACTTATAACTTTAAAACCTTTGCTTAAAATACTCGAACAACGATTCTTTTTGCCAGTATTTTAAGCCATGATTTTAAAATTAGAAACTAAGTTACTCTAATTTAAACACATAAAAGTATTCTAACTCTACAAAGTGTTTTTTAAAAATATTAGTTAAATAATTTTTTAAACTTAAATAATGATCAAAGCTTAGAACACTAAATCTTAAAAATTCCAAAATAACGCAAATCTGAGTATATCATTATTAGAATAATTTTACCCCTTTTAGCCTCCACGCGAAGACGAACTAAACAAACCGAAACCGACCGTCTCCACCGTGTCGGCCACCGCCACCGCAGCCGTCATGGTGAAGCCGCTCGAGGCGCCCGCTCTCCACAACATCGGAATCCAGAATATCGTCACCGAGCTGAGGAATCGGAGAACATCCCCGCCGGCCGCGGCGACGGCTACCGGTTCGGGAGCTGCGACGAATGGTAGGAGTGCTGGTGAGTTTTAGAGTCTAAAAAATGTAAAAAGAATTATGAAATTGCAAAAAAACTATTCGAAAACAACTCCAAACTTGTTTTTAGGAGGCTTTTTAATTTTTTAACTATTTTAACTCTTCCTCCAAGCAGAAAGTTTTAAAAATGCTATTAAAACACAAAAAAAATCGTGATTTTGGGCTCAAAAATGACCAATGTTGAAGCGAAAATCAAAAATTTAAGCGATTTTGTGAGTTTTGGCTTTCAAAATCATTAACGCACCCGAATTACAGCTAATTGACATAAACACAACGATAAAAACCCCCCTTTAGCCAAATTCCCCGCCCACCAACAGCCCAGCTCGCCGGCGCTCACCACCACCGTGCGCCCGGAGATGGGCTCGCAGTTCGAGACGGACAAGTGGAGCCTGCTAGGTTGGTAAAGCGTTAAATTAGCTAAATATTGCTATTTGATTTCCTCACTATTAACAATCCCCATGAAAAAGTAACCTAAACAACCCATGTTTTTAGGTCAACTGATGGCGCATCACGCGCGCGAGCTCGAGCGCGCCAAGGGCACCGGAATCGCGCTCAAGTTCCAGAAGGACGTCACCGAGCTGATCGCCAAGTACCACGAGAACCCGTGACCACCTTTCTATAATGTTTTGATTGTACACGTTGTCTCCCTCCACGCTTTCTGCCTTTGCCTCCCCATACTCCGCCAAGTCTCGAGAATCGGGTATCGACTTTGTTAATAAATCTGTGAACATATTCATCTTTGTAAAGCACATCCACATAGAGAAACGCCACTGAAATGCAACGCAAGATTCCAAAACCCTCTTTATTCAATACAAGTTCATACAAATAAAAACAAGTATTTCTTTTTCAGTCGAGAAATCAAAAAAATCATTCGGACGAGGAGTCGCAGCCGGCGGCGATGGGGGTACTGAAAAAAGCAGTAAATGTGGTACTCGTAAAAATCCACTGGTCCAGTTTATCAGTAAGAAAAGAAAACTGGTACGATTCAAGTTAGGGGGGGCAAGATTTTTTGGGGCCATTTTTGAGCTATCTGGGGCCAGTTTTTTGCGGCTAATCCAGCCTAAGACTCAACTCCTAAGCTAAGCTAAGATGAAGCTCAGTCAAATTGAGCTCCAACAAAGCTAAGCCCAAGCCAAAATCAGTGAAGCTGCGACAAAGCCCAGCTACAGCGAGGGTACTTCACCCCGCCCAGAAGCTAAGCCTAAGCTTAGGCTAAGCTAGGTCTAAGCCTAGGGTAAGCTAAGCCGAAGCCAAAGCTAAGCCTAAGCTTAGGCTAAGCTAGGTCTAAGCCTAGGGTAAGCTAAGCCGAAGCCAAAGCTAAGCCGATACTAAGCTAAGCTAAGCCTAAACCAAAGAAAAGGGACTGGAAATATGCGAAAAAAATTTTGCCCCCCCCCCTAACTTGAATAGTACCAGAAAACTCATAAAATGCGTGAAGCCAAGAATAAGCCAAGAAAAAATACATTTTGTCCTCCCACTCGTCCTGCGTCGAGTCGTTCAGTCCGTCCGTGTCCTCGTCCTCGATATCACTCATCATCACGTTGCACCGGGATCTGAAAATGCCGATAAACTACAAAGTACAAAAGTACTTCAAAAACTGCAAAGGCTACAAAAATACAACAATTACGCCTCAAATTACCAAAGCCACAAAACCCTCACCTCAAAGCAGTCACCAACAGCTCGCTGGCCCCGCGCAACGGCGCCTTGTTCAACGGGGTGCCGCCGGGAGACCTAAATCGACTTTCAAAAAGATACCATCAAATTCCTTACTTGGCCACCTCGGTCTTGCGCAGCTTCACCGCCTGCAGGTCCATGGCCGACGGGCGGCTGACTGGGGAGGGCATCGACTCGAGGCTGGCCGCCTCCTGAGCCTTGCGCATGGGTGTTTTCTAAAAATAAGAGTTAGAAAGATAATTTAAAATTACTGGAACAGGGGCCAGGTTGATGGGCGCCGGCGGCGGAGGCGGGGGAGGTGGTGGCGGGCCGGGCGGAGGTCGAACGACGGGAAGAGCCTGGATAATACACATAATTACGAAATGCGAAAAAAGGGACATATACGAAAAATTATAAAAAAACACGATTTGCTAACAGAATCTCGCAACAAATTATGGAATTTCCAAATTGCCAAAATCTGCCATTACGATTTTCGTTTTTTGAGGATAGTCCGAATAACTCACACTCCCAGATGCAGTCTCGTGGCGATGAGAATTCCTGGAGGAGCCCTAAACAGAGAACATTTCAAAACTTTGCGCCAATCCGTACCCGCTCCTTTGAATAGTGCTCCAGACGAGAGTTGTACGACTTCATCGACTGCGTGCAGATGCCCTCATCGAGCGAGTGGTCTAAAAGATAAAATCAAGATTTCTGGATCAAAACCAACTGCTCTCGGTGGATGGAGACAGGTCGTACTTGGTCGGGATCATCGGGGGCGGCATTCGCATCTAAAGGAACTTTTTCAGCTCAAAGAAATGCGCCATACGCCCTGTTGAGTGAAATAAGCGAGTTGATTGCGAAGCATCATCATTTGGGCCTCGATGGCCATCACCTGGAAGAATATAACTATATGAGTAAAATAGGAAAAGAATTACCATAGTAGCATCATTGTGAGCGGTCGACGGCGTGCTGAAGCGGTCATCGTCGTCCAGGCCGGAGAGTGGGCGATTGAAGAACTGGAAACCATATAAAGATCAAATCTCTCTAAGGCTAAGAAGAGTCTTTTTAAAAGAGGGCTTTTGGTTTTCGCAAAAAGAGACGGATTCTCGTGGCAACAAAAAGTGCTAAATTCCTTTCAAACTCTTAAAATGCCACAAAATGCGGGAACAACAAAAAGTTGCTGGCTATTTAAAATCTTAATAAACTCCGTACCATCCCAGATGCCACAGGTCAGGTCCACAGTTTAATTTCAAGAAAGTGTAAATAGATCATAATACAGAAATTATTTGCAAGCCGAAACCGCTAGAAACTAGATCTGTCCATTTTAATAAGGTGCCAGCAACTTTTGGTTGATCCCACATTTTTTGGCATTTGAAGAGTTTGAAAGGAATTTAGCACTTTTTGTTGCCACGAGAATCCGTCTCTTTTTGCGAAAACCAAAAGCCCTCTTTTAAAAAGACTCTTTTTAGCCTTAGAGAGAATTTAGCCCTTTTTGCCTCAATCTTATTGTTAAGGTCGTAAAATAAGCCAATGAATACTTATTCAGATGAACTCTTGTACGCAAAACTTCAAAAAAATTTGCCTGCGGCGCTTTGTAACGTCACTAGAAACCATCAGGATGTACGGGGGCCAATCGGCAAAACGGATGTTGCGGGTGGGGTTCGAACCGGTGGTGCATGACTTCCCAGTACAGCGTGCTAACCACTAGGCCAACAGGGAGACTGGAGGCCTCTCTTGGGGAAGCTAGACCCGCCCGCCCTGGCTCGGGACTGGGACCGCCAATGGGGAGGCTGGCGCCCCGTATGGCGAAGGTTTAAAGTTATAATATCACAGAGAAGAAGCATTCTTCCGATGCAATTTCTTCTTTACTTTTTCCGGCAAGGTCTAATGCATGTTTGAGCAAAATTTCAGCCCAAACGGACATCACTAACCCTTGTTTTGACCGCAATTTAGCCTTTAAACTTAAAAATTAAATATAAATTTTTTAAAAGCCTATTTTGAAAAAAACTCTTCATGCGGTCCGAGATTATCATTCACCCAATTAGTGTGCAAAATTTCAGCCCAAACGGATGATGGGAAGGCACTTTTTGACGACTACAAAGGTTTTGCGGACAAACATACAGACATACAAACGCAGACCCCCCCCTCGAAACGCAATTTAAATCGGCTGTTAAAATTCAAAATTTCACTTTTTTTCAAATTTTAAAAGCTTATAGTATGCAAAAAGTGTCGCCGGTTCCGATGGTGTATTCAGTTTTGCGATCCGATGCTTGGTTCTTTTTTAAATCCGGAAAAGGGCCCCAAAAGAGTCGTATGGGGGGGTACCTCAAACCAAAAGGGGTTAGCGGGCTACGCCCGCTAACCCCGAATTCTTAGCATACCTGAAAATCTGAAGCTGATCCGAAGTCGTCGTGGAACATCGTGGTGACCTCGCGCTCCGGCAGCGAGTCCCAGGGCTTGCCCCAAAGCTGGAAGCGGCGCAAGACACCTAAATTGATTTCTAGAAGCTGCCAAAAGTCAAGCTACCGTCTTCCACATCATCCGTCAACAAAATCCGCGCCAAGTCGTTGAGCGAGCTTCGGGGAACGTCAACTTCGGCGGCGAGCTCCTAGAAACAAAAATGATTTGAAAGGAATAATTCCAAACGTCTTCCAACGGATCGCCGCCCAGCGCCGCAATTCCCTCCAAACGAGCCGGCTTCTTTTTTGATGCACGTCTAAAGAAAACCTCAAGAATGGTACAAAAATCTTACCGCACAAAGATGCGCGCCATACGCCGCAGGAAGAAGCCGAAGTTGCTGTCGAAGATGTTGGCGCGGCAATACTGGCGTAGTTGTCGCCCGCGGCGACGCAAGTTTTCACTCTGCAACAGAAATTTGAAGATCAAAACAGCATTCGAATTTCTCACCACAAACAAGTAAGCCAGTACGAGTACGAGTGTGGAAAAATATGGCTAGAAATCAAAAATGGCACTAATTTCCAGGCGTATTTTCCGACCAAATTCAAAATCAAATTAGCTTACGATAATCACGGCTTCTTCGAAGGCGATCTGGGCGAGTAGACCGATCGAATCGGCGGCATCACGGAGGGCTTCTTTACGCCGCACCACTTGCTGCATGGCCAATGCTTCGTGCTCTGAAAAAAGGGAATTAGAGAAGTCTGTAATGCCTGAAAGCCTCCTAGTGCCCAAAACCTCGCAAAAAAAGTGCGTTCTCCTGTAAATCAGGCCCCTTTTCTCTTCTGATATATTCATTTTCAGCGGCGCGAGACACACTAGAGCGATAAAAACAACTTCGTTTGTTCAATTAACATCTCCTGATCTCTCCAGAGCCTCAAACGCTCGGAAATCTAAAAACCGACCAATCGTATTCGAAGCCGTCGGCGCGTCAGGATTCGTGCGGTTTTCCCATCCGGCCCGCTGAAGTTTCGCGCCGAGCGTCTTGCGAGGTGTACATTCCATCTGGTTGCGGGGCTAAAAATTGGTTTTTATGGGTGAAAATTTGAAAATGGAGAAAAATAAGGAGAAAACTAGATTTCCGACGTACTGTAGCTACAGTATCGAGCGAAGGTATTAGGCTAAAGATATATCGAGTAAAATAAAGGCTTTGAAAAGATATTATTAGTTTCTAGAACGACAATAAAAAAATTTGGAAACATGCAAATTTAGGCCGTTCGATGATGATCGTGGCTTTTTGTTCGCGAGGTCACGGCTGGCGCGACGGGCGCCGTTGTTTGGAGGGGTGTGTAGCCTTCCGTGCCCGGCGACCAAAATTTACCAAAAAATGTTGTAAAAATGCTATTTTTCTAAAAATACAAGTATTGTAAAAGTTTAAATTGTTGTTTAGAACATGTAAAAAACAATATTCTTTTGAATTACATGGATAGCGTAGCCAAAACATAAGAAAAACGGACTTTTAGAAGGTCAGAATCGTTTTTAGTAGACCTAAAATGTCACCCTTTGATAAGTGATACTTTAACTCCTGCTAAAGGCCTAAAAAGGCGATTTGCAAGCCTCCTACTCCCCTCCCTAATACTTCATTGCGCAATAACCGTCCTCTCCCTCCCATCGTATCCAATTTCATTTTCAGAAAATGCTGGCTTCCCGAATAGCCGGCTTCCTGAATGTGGGCTCGATTCTTAGGCCCGCGTCGGCTGATGTGTTTCAAGTCAGAGGTAGATTTTGGGTCTTTTTTTTTGAAATGCCTTTTTCAGGGCGAAAACGTGCGCTAAAGGCCACCCTAACAAGGCAGCAAAAGCTCGAGCGACGGCTGAAGCGGGAGGCCCGCGAAGCGGCGCGGAAGCAGTACACCTTCATGGAGAGGATCAACATTCGGCGGATGAAGAATTTGTGGGTTTTTAATTCCGGCTTGGCTTTAAAAATAAAAAAAATTTTCATTTTTCCGTCATTTTCAGGCTCTCTCCATCTCAGCAATACCCTGGACGTCTCGTTGCTGATGAAGAAGAAGCTCTACCCGACAAGCCAGCCACAAATGTCTATATCATGTAAAGAATTTCGACTTTATCTTCACAAAAGATTTTTAGGTCCTCGGTGAAAACGCAGTTCTTCTCCGTCCGCGACGCCCTCGCCATGCACAGAGAATTGCAGGTAGGAAAGTTCTTTCTTGCAAAATAGCTCGTTGTAGTGTCCCGAGATCTACAACCGGCCAAACGCGCCCATCAAGCTGCGCATCGAGCTGAACATGAGCACCGAGAAATCGGTATTGGCATTTTTTTTGGGTTGTTTATTCATTTTTTTCAGACGAAAATGATCTCAAACCACGACGAAATCGTCCCCGTTCCCTTCCCGTTCAAGCACCAGGAAAAGCGTACGATTCTCGCGTTTGTCAACGATTTGAAGCTGCAGGTGAACTAGCAGGGATTTTTGAGGACGTTTTGATGTGAAGTAAAAATCATTTAAACTCTACATTGAAGGAAGCTGCCGTTGAAAGTGGCGCCGAGCTCTCCGTCGGGCAGGACGTCGTGAAGAAGATTATCAAGGGGCAATTCCGCACTGACGACTACGATTTTTGCGTTGCGCACACCGATATGGCTCCTCATATTTTGCCGCTTCGCGGGCTGCTCCGGTCAAAGTTTCCGAACAAGGTCAATGGTTCGTTTTTCGTTTTATTTCTTGAGGTCCCTAGATGCCGAGATTCTTTACGAAACGTCTTTTTGGCCGGGATGGATGTCTAGAAAAAGACCCCCGTTAATGCCAAAGCACCTATAGCTGTTTTTTCAGGCGGTCTCGGCGACGATCTGCCTGCCATCATTGATCGTTTCCGCAACGGCGTGAAGCTGTCGATCAAGGGCGACCCGGTATACCCAATTTGGGGACTCGCTGAGCCGGTGGTCGGCAGAGTAAGCGCGAGAGTTTTCGCTATCATTTTTCATGTTTAGTTGTCGATGAGCGATGACCAGCTCGAAGAAAACATTGCCGCCATCGTTCAGGCCCTCTGCGTCCATCGCAGCCCCGCGCTGGGCCCTTTTATTAATCGGTAAATTATTTTATATTTTGGAGTTTGTAGAATGGGATCGACGAATAAAATATAGAATCTATGACAATGTTAATTCATTTTTAGTTGCCTGATGATGACGATTCCCGGCGAGGCCCATTTTGCGTTGGACGTGAAGAAGTGGGAGCCGGTGGCTACCGAGGAGGAGCTGGAGAAGGTTAGAATTTTGACGCTTCAAGGGGCCAAATTTTTGCCAAATTCCAGAATATGCACAGTAACGTTACTGCAAACATTTTCCGGGGTGTGTTTAGTAAAATTAGCTAGATTTCAAGCCATAAAATTGATCAGAAAACTTTTAAAAGATAAAATTTCGCCGAAAATCCGCAATTTTTTGCCGAAAAAAACGGAAATTTGCGGCATTTTTATTAGCATTTTGAAAATTTTGATATGAGGATGCTAGAAAACGGAAACCTTCTTGAGTTCCTGGGAAAATTTGGATCAGAAAAATCTATCCCTCCCCTGAAGACGCCAAAGAACCGGAAGCTGACCATTATTTCCTTTCCTTTCCTTTCAAATTCACGTTTTTACCATCATAACATTACACATCTAAACGATTCCCTCCTCGCCCCAATTATCGATTTGTTCAGATGGATGCCCGGCGCAACAAGAAAAAAGCAAAAGAAGGACGCCGCCGCCAAGCCAAATGAAGAAGCCGTCAAAGAGCTCGCCCAGCAAGTCGTCGACGAGGATCTCAAGGTGGCGACGGCTTGAAGGCGTTCAGCTTGCTGATGTCCAGTCTCGCTGGACTTTCTGCCCGTTGTCACCATTTCGTGTGCTTGTGTGTGCCCCTCGTATCTACCACTCCTCGGGCTTATCGGCCTGATTGATGGGTGGTCTCGCCCGGGCTTCTTTCGGGCTACTTGTTCGCATCGCTCCCTTCTTTTTGAAGCCCTGCCCGTTCTTCAACCCTTGATTGTGATTTTTAGGATATTCTCTAGACCCCGCAGTTGCGTAGAAGATAGTTGCTCAATATTTTTTTGTTTGTTGATTTATTTCCCTTTTTGCTCTCGTTGCCCCTCGTTTCGTTTGGCGTCCCCAGTGCAAGAAGCTAGGGGCTGGAATAAAAATTGTGGCTTTTTCTGGGTGTATTTTTTTGCGATACGGCGAAACACACGATCACCTGATCATATCTTTTATGGATTGATTTAAACCGGCCGAACTTTTTAAGTGTTTCGATTCTGAACTGTTAGCGGGGCATCGTTTTTGCAGAAGTCTAAAAATGTCTAGTAACTTAATAGGAAGTCAAGTGAAGCCTCTTCATTTAGAAAAACTAACTGAAAACTTTATATTATTCGAAAAAGTCGAAATTTTGTGCAAAAGATCCGCCATTTTCGTCGAAAATTCTGCTTTTCTATATATTCTGTAGTTTTTACGTTTAGAATTAGTGAAAAAAAAACAGTTTGAAAACACCCGCTATTTATATTTGAAAAATTGGATCCTCAGAGAAAAGCCCCCCGATAGTGCCAAAGAACCCACCATGCTTCTCATTCCTGGACATGAACCTTTGTTTTTGGTGGACAAATTTGTGAGGCGGTGAGGGTAATTTAAAGCTCGTTTCTCATAGCTGGAAATTGACTTTTGTTCTTTTGGCCTAGAGAGCTCTAATTTGTCTGGGAGAAGCGTTTTTCGCTTCAACTAGAGTGTGGGATGGTTCGGCGATTACGCCAAAGATTCCGGCCAGCTGGTGGGACCGGTTTTTTAGTCCGAAACGGAAGGGAAACGAAGAACAAAGTTCATCACGATCTACAAGGCTTGTTCGCTTTATGGGCTTGGTTTTATAGCGTTTGAAAATTCGGACGTTTATCTCAAAACAGTTGAAAAAGTGACTTCGATTAAGCTGTAATTTGCTGCATCAGAAATTCCGGAAGAAAAACGCAAGATATTTTTATACGAGTTTTGGCTTGTTTTTGGAATTTTGAAAGTTTAGA